AATACTGTAACTATTTTCTCATTGTTTCAAGACCTGAGTTCCAAATCTTGAATTCCCTTGCCTCTTTTTACTTCCCTGTCTGGCTTCATTATTGGAAACAGAATATAACTGTACCACAAATCAAAGTGAAAATTCAAAACAGGAGAAAAAAAAAGTGATGGAACTAACATGACCTTTGCCAACTAACAATTCACCATATGCTGCATCTTCTTCTACTGTCCTTTATGTCTAGGTCTGCATTCTGCAAACGAGCAGGATATAGAACTAGTAGAACTGCAGTCAATACATTGGAGGTACACATTAGAAAAAAGTGTATCTTGCGATTGCGTTTAACATGACTAACACATAATTGTAGGCCTGATAGCCTAGCATTGATCCTGGGCAGAGTAATGTAATTATTTGATAGAGGAGTTGGATTAATCTGAACTATAGGAGGGTGATACGGTGCCAATCAAATGGGAAAACAGAAGCAGGATCTTGTAACATTAGATACATTTATCTGTAATTTCATTAGAAAGTTCTGATAAAGAGATTAGCTCTGACTTCTTAGAACTTCTGTAGAGAACTGACTTGGCCCCATGCACTATTTTGATTAAAAAACTGCAATTAGCATGTTATTCATTACAGGGACAAAAGAAGCTTGTTAAAATCAAGATATAAACTCTGTTGCTGGGGGATAAATTAGGGTCAGTTACTCTATTAGAGCCTTTGATACAATATTCCTGATAAACACAAGTCATTTGTTTTTTTTAGCATCATTCTTACTTGGTTGGTGCTAATAAATTGTTTAATAATTTGCTTCAGGTTTTTGGATTTGTTAAACTAAATCACTTATTTCTTGATCCTTCTATTTTTTAATGCCTAAGACTGCAGTCTTTTTCAGTGCTTCAAGAACTCTTGAAGATACAGCACAGAGGTTACTCTAGCTTTTCCTTAAGTATCTTACAGTGAATTGTATCAGCTACAAAGCTGACTATATTTACCTTATTTGGATATCACATATTCATTTCTTTTCATAACCTGCTAGGTAGGCCTGTTGTACTCTTGGAATTTTCACTGATACTTTTTTAAAAGTTGAAGAATGAAGTAATAGGATCTTTTTCTTTTCTCGTACTTGCAAAATGTGGCATTCTTTTCTGTGACAATCTTTTTAATTGAAAGCTGATTTGCTTGCAGTATTCTTTTATATGTACTCCTAGCTATATCTGTTTCTTTCCCTTTTGTATAGGATTCCTTTCTGCTTTTTCAAATTCAATAGTTTCCACTAGATTGAAGGTACTGTCTTATTATGTTGCTTTTTATTTTGTATCACAGTAGTCTGCCATTATGCCTTTTTTCAGTAAGTACCAATACTATCCTTCACATCCCAAAAAATCTGATTGATTTATATATATTTTTTTGAATTGAGGATGAGAAAAATTGGTAAAAATCACTTTATATGGTTAAAAAGAACCTTAGGATTGCCTGACTTGGTGGATTCCACACAAAAAACATGTTCTGGAAGCAGTTTTTATTTAATTGTTGCTTCTTGACTGCTTTCAGTAACAGTTAATCTTCCTGAAAACAGTATTTGATATTATACCTTATATTACTTAACAGCATTATTTTAGTCTGCAGCTTCTCTTTACAGTTTTTAAAGTAAGTAGAAACCTTTAACCACTGCATAGAAACATCTGAATGTTTACTCAGATGGAAGTTTTCTGAAACTTTGGAACTATGAATGGGAACATAATTTATGTGCAGTCTCATCCTAGCAAGTTCTCATGATGAGTTTGATTCAATCCAAATGTCTCAACCAACATTCTTAGACAGAAACACTTCTCTGCCTGCTTCAGATGATCTAATATACAGCACAATTACGAATCTGAGGACTCTATACAGAGATACTGTTGTTTGGAACAAAACCATGTCTGATCCCTGGTATTACCCAACCTGGCTTCAGTTTTACTGTTCCCTTATGATTAAGATGCTCAACTATTTATTGCTCCTGCATACAAAAATACTGTCCATTAGAATGTGTTCTTTTTTTCCTGATGGGATTCTTGTAAGTTACTGTTCAAAATTAGAGGCACATAGAATACCTGTTATTTGCCTATAAATGTAGTTTAAAAGTATGTATTTTAACACAGTTCACTTCAGAGACCCTCATTTTTGCTGTTTCTATGTATGAACCTGAAAATCTGATCACCATAAACATTTTGAACACTTTGCCACAGATCATTAATGCACAAACAGTATACTGATAACAGTATTTTTTGTCTCATGTTGATAAGACTTAAGGAAATTTGTTTTAAAAAAAACAAGGAAGAAGACACTTTAAAAGCCTAGACCCCTAATGGGTCTCTACTTTCACACACACAAAAAAAATGATTTTCATTTTCTCTGTAACAAAAGAATCTTCATTTTAAAGCATGGAGTGGGGTCACCATGCCGTCTCTATGAAGGTTCTTAATTCCAATAATTTACTGGCATACTTCTGTGGTGTATCATTCCATACAGCAACAGAGAAAAGTCTATATTCTTTTGTGGCATTAGAAGAACATCCAAAGACAGAAAATAGCCCATTACTGCAGATTGCAAAAAGCTAAGTTATTTTATATTTTTGTTTTTCAGACAAAAAAAGTGCAGGTGAAGAATAAGATAGGTGTATGAAGCCAGACAAGAGAAAAACTGTAGAAATTAAAATCTTATCAAAATTTCCAAGGCTACCAGTAGCCTTGTTTACAACATTCTTTTCTTTCTAAGAAAAGCTAGGGCATTCTTTTATGCCCTCTAGTGATACAATAGAAGCGTGTCATTTTATTGCCTGTATTCACATGGATGTGAAAGCTTTTTTTTTTTTTTTAAACAGCAGAAATACTGATGTAATCATTCTTTCCACTATATGGATGGAAAACTGTAGTTTATTTTAATACATGGCAAAAGCATTTCAAGATGCGTAAATTCTAGTTCTGTTATTCCATAGGTGTAATATTCCAACTTGTGTTCTCATTCAGCAGTTAAATTTCAGTTTGAGCATTAGCTTTAAGCTTTGAAGACTTTTTTCCAACCCTTTAGTGGTGCCTTCCCATATCTGTAGCTTTTCTTCTGCCATAAAGTTGGTACAGACTCTGCTAGCGGAATAAAAAGCAAAAACTGAAATTTATTGGATGTGTAACAAATATACGCTAAACATATGCATTACATATTCTAAAGAGGTGGATGGTAGAACCAGAATATGAAAAAATTATTTATTTTTGTTCTGTCCACTCTTGAGTATTGCTGTCATACTTGTTAGTTATATGCATTTGCTATACTGTTATTAAAAATAAATGCAGTTAAATTAGAGTACCTGAAGGTAGTCTTTGTCTTTCAGCCTCTATATGGAGGATTGCATTTCTGTTGAGTATCCTTTACTAAGCAGATGGCTAGCTCCATGCATTTATAACATTCTCACTATCTTGGCTAAAAAGCTGAGTTAATCCAAGATGGCTTATAAATGCATTTTTATTTGTTCAAGGGAGAAGATAAAATGCTCATGGATTATTATTGCTTTGCCAAAGACAGGTTAATTATTAATAAGAATGTTTATAAATAGTTTAGTATCCATAGATGTTCATATTTGGTAGATGTAATTTAGCCCTTAAAGATAACTTATACTTTATGTTTCTCCTTTAAAAAAGGGGTTTTTTTTCCTCCTGAAATGCTTTCTTAATTTCCATTTGCTTTTCTGCTAGATGATAAAGAAAAATACTTCATATTCTGGACAGCGAGACAACTTTTATACTATTCTATGTTGTAATACAACTGCTGTTGAACTAAATGGAGTAAGATTGTTTCTCAAATGCAAAAATGCCTTCTCCATTACCTTTTTTTCTCAACTGGTCAGTTTTCTACAAACATTAGTATCAAATATTAGCAGTAAATATAGCTCCCCCTGTTTTATAGTCAAATATTAACTTACTTTTACTAATAAATAGAAAAAAATAGGCAACAAGCCTAAAGCGCCTGGAGGAATTTTCACCCAGTCTTTTAAATTGCACAGCACATTAACATGTTGTAAGTATTTGCCGTGGAAATGGCACACTCCTTTCCCGCAGGATAGCACCACTCACTCCCACGTTTGCTTCACGTGCGCTTGGGAAGCTGCCAACGGTTGTTCGCTCTTTGCTGCCGAAACAGCTCTGATACTTGTTACCGTGGGAATACTATTAACGTTTTCATTTCTGCAGTATTCTTTACGCACGCTTCTACCTGACACCTGGGCACAAGGCAGACGAGCAAGAACGGACTGAGCGAATCTATGGCCTGTTTCCCCTTATTTTCCTGTTTCCCCCCGCAACGATCGCCCACGACTGCTCGTTTGCCCGAAAGGAACCGGCGGCCCTCACGGCCAGCGGGAACCCGCAGAGTAACAGCGCCTTAAAAGGTGTCGGGGCGAGGGCCCGCAGAGTAACAGCGCCTTAAAGGGTGTCGGGGCGAGGG